CTGTGCGAGAGTAGTGCCGAGAGTGAACCTACGCGCGGAGAGCACAGACGGCTCGCGGGTGGCGAGAGTGAATGCCGGCGCGGAGAGCGGTCAACATCGGTCCAACGTCGCTCCAATATCGGTCCAACGTAACGGTTGACCCTGCTTGAACCGTCGTCAATTGTGGTGCATGGTCTGCACCCGACACTTTCTCGCTTTCTGAAGGAGAGAGTATGTAATCACCAGTCGGAATAAATGTATAATGGAATTTATTGGGAATTCCAGAAAATTTTAAGAGATTAATCATTATCTCCCAATTCCGATTGAAGAAACAACACCATGAATTATGTTTTATCTTCTATCCTTCTATGTTTTGTTTTCAGCGTCTTTATTAGAAATTTTCTGAGTTTGCCTTCCACATATAAACCCCTCTAAAATGCAATAAACGTCTTCGAACACAGCAACATACACTTCGCACCTACCGTATTCAAAAAATTCTGTGTGCCCATTCCACTTGTATTGCACCGCTTTACCTTTGAAAATCTGCTACTTTCTATTTCTGTGCATTATGGCGTCATCGTTTTCGAACAGATTGTCAGTATTGATCGTTTGTTGATTCGTATTTTTTTGCTATGGGAACTTTCATGAATGTTTGTCATTTCAGATGCGTTCAATAACGCTTCTGCTGGTCTTCATAACTATTGTTGTGTCCGGTGGACGGTTTCCGGATCCACCCGTTTTTGCAGCTCCACAACATTACCCAAGTATTTGTTACCTGCCGCCAGGTAAGGGTTACCATTTTTGCACTATAGCTTTTGTGGCACTATTCAACTATTACAACCCCCGAAATCTCAAAATTTTATTTTTCATTGAAACTTAGGCTATAGGGGTAATTCGGTGCCCTGATTACGAAAATGACATTCATTTTCAACGAGGGGCGCCATCTGGCTTCATTCGGTGTAGACTTAGTTTGGGTGCTAACTTAGTTGGGGGGGGGGGGCACGCGGCGGCGCGGCAGTCTGCTCGCCTGGCATGTTCGGAAATCCGTGGGCCAGGGGGAGTGTAGGCAGTCTAGGGGGGTGGGGGGTGGGGGCAGTCACTTGACATGCGTGAAAAGCTGGAATGTTCGAGTTTACACTGTCTCGCTCGAGAGAGCCCAGGTGAGCAGACTGCCGCGCCGCCGCGTGCCCCCCCCAACTAAGTTAGTCACCCACGAGGTCAATCTGAGCAACCAGTGTGTGTTGAAGACAATGTTTTCACAGCATAATTCGGTTCAAAGTTCTGTGCAGGGGTTATTTGATGTCCTGATTACGAATATGACATTCGTTTTTGACATTAGCGCTGTTTACCGCACATGTCCAGCTTTTCTGAAATCTCTCGTCTATACATAGCGCCTTGGGACTAAGCTTAGGAGATAGGGAGACTAGGGATGGGCAAATCAGGCATCGTGTGGCAAGCATGGGACGTTTGAAATCACAGGGTGAGTGGCTTACTCACTCATAGCCCTCCTCTCTCCTAGTGCTTAGCCCTGTGTCGCGATCTAGTCCTAGGAGAATGATTAGGAGTAAGCGGAATAAGCGCTAAATGGAGTTAGCGCCCAAGATGAATGTCATATTCGTAATCTGGACACCAAATACCCCTACTCAGAATTTACATAGAATTTGGTGAAAACAACTGTCGTGACAAGGTGACGCCACGTGGCGCCAGATGGCGCACCGCCGAAAATGAATTTCATTCTCGTAATCAGAGCCGAACTTACCACTATGCAAGTATTGACGAAGAAATGCAATATTATAGAGTTTTTGAGGGTGTATTGGTTTAGAATGGTGCCCGCTTTTTTAGTCTTCTTGTGTGTATTCTTGAGAATTCAGTGAATATAACATAGTCAACCCCATTTTTGTTCCGAGCGTCGCCGAGTATTAATGACTTATTCGACATTTGTCTTTTAGCATGGTGACAACCAAATCGCACCGCGTTTGCCTAATTGTTTTTATGGGGTCTCTTCAACAACGGGGGCATGTGATGGGACAATCCATATCGAAAGTAATCACTTTTACCGCAGGGGATGGAAGCTCCGGTGTAGGATGTATAGCGAAAGGCGAAATGATAGCACTTCAACACGTGAGAAAATTCCTTCTACCTGCAAAAAGTTGGGAGTTTATCTAACAGACGAAGTAACCGGCTGCTCCCGGTTCCCCTCATGATGAGAATGACGTTTATTTTGTGCGATAACGCGCGTATTACATATGTAGAAGTTGGATTTAGTTACTTACTCGCGGCGTTGTGTCGCACCGGTTATGACTCTCTTGGTATATGAAAAATATGGCGGGAAATCATATTTAAAAAAATTATTTTATTTGAGTCACCTTACTAGTTCTTCAGTCGCAATTTGGGTCTTAACCGGCAGCTTTTTGACCGCTCGTTAGAGGACTACCCTAAACTAGCTTAACAATTTCGTATTTTTCCTGGAATAGCTTACTATTCTATCCATGGCAGTTGTTTTGGTGATTTCTCAATTCTCCTTCATGCCGCTCCGTCGATTTTACTTTCCACTTCCACATCTATTTACCTAAGCCGCGCGATCAGATTATCATCGGCTTTTTTTTTTCGAATTCTGCGCGGTCAGATAACGAGCAGACCAAGGGCCGCGGAAGAAGATGCTCGCTAATATAAGAGAAACTTTTGCGTGAAATTCACAACTCACGAGAGGGGAAAGCAAGGTGCTCAACCGACAATGATAATTCTAAAACCGTCAATTTTAATTTACTTTCTATTTTTTTTTGAGAAGGTCTTAGATATGTGATAAGTCGACTGCGAAACTTTTTCATGCGATTGAGCTTTTTTCAAAGTTCTCCAGATAGCACCTGGATGAAGTTAGAAGTGGAGCAGACGGGTGGCCGACAGGTCAAAGAGGTGCCAGCAGTAGAGAGCAGGCGTAACCAGCTTGCTCCCCATCACATTACACCATGGACGTCTCTAAATTGTATATTCCTTATTGCAATTCTGCCAGTGGACATACGCAACACTGAGATGGATGCCGTTTCTTTACCTCTAAGCTAAGCTGTTCAAGTCACTGTTGTCGCGACGAGCGTGATTGCACGCGCTTGACTACCTTGTACTTTTGGAAATCAAGAAATGCTTCATGCTTCAAGACATTCAACAAAAGCGTCCCATGCCCGATGGTCATACATTTCAACTTCCAAAAACCTCACAAAATACAATTTGTTTCCGATTTTTCAAAATCAAATTTTCAGACTCTGGGCTGTGTTCGCAAAATCCTTCCTCAACCGAGGAGTCTTCAGATCTTTTGACGAGGTACTACTTCGATGTCACCACTGATCAGTGCTATCCCTTTGGTGTGCAAAACTGCGGAGGCAACGAGAATCGTTTCAAATCACGAGCCGAATGTCAGAATTTTTGCCGCTTAGACAACAAGTAGTGTTGCGGTAACTATGTAACTTCTAGTTATTACAAATCTAAAGCGAAAAGGCTTACTGTATATACTAACGAGATATAGTTATAATGAGGCGGATAGCATTACTGTGATACTTTGTTAGAAATTTAGCACAGATTCTGATTGACTGATCAACTGTGCCGCTATTCACTGGGCTGATTTCCTTTCGACTTATCCATCTAATCTTCTTTGTTACTTGTTCACTTTTTTCCAACGAGGTGTGTTAGCTGATGCTGATTGGTCTTTGATTCTCTGTCACTCTTTTGCTCTCTCCAGAGGTTGTGCATAATCTTTTTCGGATTTCTTGAGCCACGATCTACGGGTGTTTCACTTCGTAATATATTGCGACTTACTTCAATAAACTTTTTCTTACGGGATTCGACCTCGAAACTTCTGGTGATAAATGTCTAGGACGCAGCTGAAATCCTAAAAAGATACAATCGTAGAAGACTTGAAATAACAATGTCAAACAAAGCCGTGCCAATTTGTTCAGGGTTTTTCTTTTGGGACAGCCCAGTTACCGACATTACTGTTCCATTCGCGTTCAACAAAGAGCGTATTTTGTGTGTCAACTGACGATTCTATCCAGACCGAAAAAGAAACTGACAAAATGGAACTGAACCTTTGCCCTGGACGGGTGTGGTTCACTAGGACAGAAAGCGACTTTTTTCGCGTTTCGCAGCGCGAAACATTTTTCGCTGCGGGAACCTCAGGTCCACCGCTGATCATGAGTGGACCTGAGTTCCCGCAGCGAAAAATGTTTCGCGCTGCAAAACGCGAAAAAGTCGCTTTCTGTCCTAGTGAACCACGCCCGCCTGCAGATGGGTGAGAACATGCTCTAGGGTCGCTCACTGCTCGAATAAGATTCAACGAAACAGGGCCGCGGTCACAAATTGCGACATTACGATTTTCATGGAGAAAGCACCGATCTAAAAAAAAAACCATGCGACGGCGCGCATCGCAAGATGCGAATGCGATCTGATAAGCCATCTACTCCTTACTGTATAGTTTGCAGGGCGGGCTCGCAAAGTATGACCATGGCTTGAAGAATTGTTCACGAGTAAAATCGTATGGACCCTATCTCCCCTAATATCACTGTATGACCCACCGCTCACGATAAAAAAGAAAAGTGCAAAAAATTGCAATTGTTGGGTGTACTTCTGGCTTGAGGTTTGTTAACCCAGAAATGAGTAACCGACTGAGACTAACTGACTAGACTCTGACAACCCAGGGTCAACCGCCCGTTGCGCAGAACAACGAGGGGGTCGTATTCGGCCGAACAAAAAGGGGAGGGGGTCGTATCCAGAAAGAGGGGGCAATGGGGCTTCAAAAGTGCAAGTGCAGTGTCCGGCAGTGCACTTTCACGCTCTAATGTTCTCCAGGAGCTCTGCACAGTGCAGCTGTCGGAGAGTCACACAGACAAGAGCTCCATGGGAGCATTAGAGCATGCAGAGCATTATAAGTCTCACTATCAGCCATTATTATCCTTTACACACGGCGCTTTCGCTCGACAGCATACTTCAATATACATACAATATAGGCACTATTGAGCTATTACAACCCCAGAGGGGGTGAGATGGATCAAAAAATTTTTTTCGCTGAAACTTGCGCTAGGGGGGTTATCGAGGCTCCTGATCACGAATATGACCTTAGTTTTTGGCGCTGGCGCCAAATTGGCGCCAAGGGTGTTTTCACCAAATTCGCTGTAAACTTGTGAATAGGGGTTATCGAGGCTCCTGATCACGAATATGACCTTAGTTTTTGGCGCTGGCGCCAAATTGGCGCCATTTGGCGCCAGGTTGGCGCAATGGCAATGACACACGGTCTGTCAGTGAGGTCTGAACGGCAGATGCGGCCGTAGCCAACTAATGCCAGATAGCTCCAATTTGGCACCAGCGCGAAAAACCAATGGTATATTTGTGATCAGGACCTCAAATAACCCCTATTCACAAGTTTACAGCGAATTTGGTGAAAACACCCTTGGCGCCAAAAACTAAGGTCATATTCGTGATCAGGAGCCTCGATAACCCCCCTAGCGCAAGTTTCAGCGAAAAAATTTTTTTGATCCATCTCACCCCCTCTGGGGTTGTAATAGCTCAATAGTGCCAGCCAAAAAGTTTGTTACAGAGTGCGCTGAAAACTATGGTTTGTTCGTCGAATGAGTCAAAATTCCTATATCCCGAGGAGAAACAAGAGTAGTTCTATGCAATGGATGAAACAAGTGTACCATATGACAGTACAACACTCATGATGCTAACACCTTCTTCATAAAATGGAGGACATTCAAATGCGAGTGCGACTTCTAACCACAGACAGGTGCACGGCGCAAACCCGAGCAGGCGTTTTCTCATAGAAACGCCTTCTCTGTCAGCGGCCGTGAGCAGACAAACTTCCTGAAGAGAATTTCGATGCTTTCAAATTGACTCTAAGCGGAACAAAGTGTAGCGAACTTGCTGAATTGACTTCTAGAGAGCCCTTAGGAAAATCGAGGGAATAGAGAGAATTTCAGGAAATTTCACACCTATTATAAAGTACTCTTCAAGTAGATTCTACGGTCTACCGCTTTTCATCACATCAACTTTGAAGGAAGTTATGGGCCTTTGAAGACTGCATAGTCGCGGTCCATGAAAATGGCTTGAAAAAAATCAAGGTGACAAAAACGGAACAACGGGACTATTTTTTGAGAGAGGGATCGTTGAAAAAAGGTGAGGTACTTGTTTGAAAGCTCTAATCTTCTAGTTTAATTAGCCTTGAATATGTGCAAAATGTTGATTATGAAGAAAGTTATGAATGTTTGAATGTCGAAAACTCGCGTGTGCACAAAAAACGGAACAACGGGACGATTTTTTGAAATATTGAACATCCGCAACATTTCAAATACTTTTTTAGGAAGAAAACTATTTATATTTTTAAAATTTTGGTGTCCGATTTCATGAAACAGCTTGTGAAAGAAATATAACCTTCTGAATGGAGGGGTTTGGATTGCAATGTAATTGCTACAAGGTTTAGTTTTTCAGATTATAAAGTAAGGAAATTGAGAGATCGAAAAAAAAACTTGGTAGGTATCTGAGAGTAGAAATCTTTGTGATTATTATCATGTATTGTTTTCGCAAATTTGAAAATTCCATCTATTGAAGAATAAAACTTCATTGTGTCTCGATTCCTCCTCTGAGCGAGACAAAGCGCGCGGATTGACCATGCGGTCCACCACTTCTCCATGTCGGTGACTGTCCATACATCAGTGTTGAGATTTAAATTATGTGAAAGACATTAAAATGTAGTCCGGCGGGAGGGAGGGGTCGTACCGATGCCCTCCGAAAAGGAAAAGGGTCGTAAATTTCTGGAATTTGCGCAACGTAGGGTTGACCCTGCTGACACCGCTTAAGCTCTGAGCTATGTTTAGGCCTTCAAAAAGGACGGAACGATCGAAACCTTGGCCAGAATAAATCTTCCTTTGTATTGATTTTGTAAGGCAGAAGGCAGAAGTACAACCAACAATTACAAATGCCGAGGCTTCAAGATAAGAGAACTTGAGGATTTATTACAAAAAATTGTCTGTTTTGGTAAATACAGAAGATGCGAAGGACTGTGACATGTCCAAATCCCCGCCGTACATCTGTCACAAATCGTGGCATTGGCAGCGATTGAC